AAGGCCTACCTTTAGCATTGATGATTTAGTGTTCATTATTCTTCAGGTACAGTTATTTCAGTAATGAATCAAACTCTAACTATTCTCATAAAGCCCACATTTCTCCATTTTGACCTGGAAAATGACAATTCTGTCAAATATTGAATACAAATAATGAAATCTAATTGAATAATATCAAAGGCATTTTTCTAATGAAGCAGTATATTAATTCTGTCAAAAAAAGAAATGAGGCTAATCTGACTACTTCCCAACCAACTTTGTCTCCATTCGAAGTATACCAGCCTTGAATTTAAATGATCTTACAAATTATGATATATTGGGTCATCAGGGCAGTCATGATGCATTTCTGCAAAGAAAAACAGACAAATACGTCATGACTTTTCCAATGACCTAACAGATCTATCCTGGCAGAGTACCAGCATATTTCTTCTAGAAGATAAACTTCAGTCTCCCCATTTTATGATTAGCTACTCCTCCATAAGGGGGTGGGGGAAGGGTTTCTGGCAAATTTGAATATGTAAATTTTGGTGTTAGAGAATTTTAAAAATCTAATGTTTATTTATAAAGTCTGTTTTATCAAATTAGTTACACATATTTAAAATTACATACTGTATATTCATTTAGAAATTCTTTTTTCTTGTAAATGTTTCATAAAACAATTTTATTGAAATGTTTTCCAATATATCTTTGGTGCCTGCCTTCGCATTCACTAGCGTGACTAAGTTGCCAGTTTTTCTTAAAGTATTATCACCTTTCTTTTATTCATAAAAGTTTTTTGCATTACAGCACTTGTCGTCTTTTTCCCTTTATGACAGAAAGCACCTGTGTATATGAGAAAGAGAGAAAGTACCCCGGACAGTGTCCCACTACACTGCCATCCTTCCTCTTCTGTGGCATGGTCCAACCACGGATCCCTACAACCTGGGATTCAGACAGCAGTGGCCATATGGCCTCCATCACAGCAGGGTGCTAGCATTACTGCTGATCACAGCTCCTGGGCCAAGTCACAACACTTTTTTAATATTTGTGATCTTTCATTCAGTTAGTTTCACCACAGGGTGCACACACTGGCTGGAGAAAGAGAGAGAGAAAAATCACTCCTTCAAGCAGGATGGCCATGCCACACTCCTTTCTCCTCCCTTCTCTTCTTGGGACTTTAAGCATGCATTACACACACACACCTACACACAAGATGTTTTTCAAGCCACAGGGTCCTGGATGTGAACCATGCTGTGGGCCAGGTGAGATGCAGTCATCTTAACCATCATGCCACCTGGCTGTCCCTCTTTGTGGCCTTTTAAATCTAAACTCTAAGTACCCATTTTTTCTCTATGCATTCAGATAGTTTCTTCATTTTACATGTGTGTACTATAGATGTAGGTTCATAATCTCTACAACTTAACTAGCACTGACTACAGTAGCTTTGGATTTGTAACTCCTCCAAACAATCCTCTCTGAGGCTTCCTATGAGTAAAAATAGTGACTTGCTCTTTCCTGAGATAATTTTTTTTTGGGGGGGGAGATCTTGCCTTATATCCAGGTACTCAACAAGTCAAAAATGCACACAGTCAGGAACTCGATTATTTCTTAAACACATTTCAGTTAATAACATTATATATTGCTTATGTAACACTTGGAAGCATTAACAGAAGTCTTTAGAAGTTAACTTTTCTTTCTGAATTAATGTGTTAAAAATTTGCTATGCTGCTATAAAAGAGAGTACGATAGGTTACTCAATTCTGTGAATTAGCTCATGGGAACCAGTTTTCTTTTCCTTTTTTAAAGAATTATTTTATTTAACTTTATTTATTTATTTTAATTTGAGCAGGAAGGGACAGAGTGAGAGAGGGAAAGTGATAAAGCAAATCACCAGGTCTAGAACTCGAACGCAGTTGGCCATGGGAGTCTAGCATCCTTAACCACCATGCCATCTGCCAGCACCGTGAACTAGTTTTCTTAAAGAAACGGGAGTGGTAGTTCTAGTAATTTACTGTACTGTGTATTAGGTAAATGCCAGGCACTGTTTTAAGTGGTCTTAAAATTAGACTTTTAATAGACTACTTAAAACAGTATAACAACTCATTTCATCTTCACAACACTCCTAAAAAAATAGGTACTACTGACAATTCTATTAAACTAATGAGGAAAAACAGCCACAGAAAAGTTAAGAAAGGTGCCCAAAGTCATACAGCTTGTTAGTGGCAAAAATTCAGGAAGTACAGTTCTATCCCCTCCTTCTTTTGGAAACATACACACATGTACAATACACTGCCTCTCAGTAAAATTTGGTCTTCACTCCATAAGACAGTTTCATCTACTAAGTAATTAGTATCAGTAATCTAAAGAAGACTTTGCGGTGACCATAGATTTCAGTATATTTTAATGTATTTTCTATTCTATAATCTATTACCCTATCCACTTTGCCTGAAAATATAATGACAGGTCTGAGGGGAGCAGATAGTTCATCCTTTTCCTCCATGTACCCTAAGCTAATCACCGCCATTTCAGTTAGATTGCAAGGCAAAACGTCCCTATTACAAACATAAGCATTGAACAGACTAGCTCCTATTATAAATATAAGCAGAGAACAGAGTAGCTCCAGGTCTTCCTCACTCTCCTCCGAACTTTGTAACTGATGGTAGAGTATCTGCCCCCTATCCCCAAAATTCCCTGCTATATATAAAAGCAACTTCAAACATTTTCTTATCAAAGGCGGAAAGGATAGTGGCACTTCATCAGTTGTCATCGGGTGGTGGTGTCCTGTAACCGGGGTGGGGGTAGAGGAGCAATTTCCTAAGTAAGAATAGGAAAACTATGAACTCAAGAACCGGAGAACAGGAGGGAAGCTGAAGCATGCAGAAAAGGAAGCAGGGGGATGGAGTGGGAGGCATGCTGTCTGACTTGGAATTTTGCAGACAGAATGAGAACAGCAACTGGGGAGATGGGGGTCGAGTCACGGAAACCTGTTCGGCAGCATTTTCCTTTTGTGCTTCTCAGACTCTTGAAGAAACATACCCCCCCTCCCAGTACTAACGGCCCGATCGGTCAGGAGCACCGCCGCTCCTCTCCTGCTCCTGGCCAGAGCTGCTCCCCTGAACAGCGCTGGCCGCTAGCCCTCAGCCGCTTCCCACACACCGGTCACCCGGCGGGAGGGACAGCCAGAGTCCCTGGGCACCAAGGCCAGAGACCCACGTCCGCTCCTCCGCGGCAGCCATCGCGGCTTCTCCTCGGGTGGACAACCCCCGAACACTCCCACATTTCGACGCAGAATGTGAGCTGAGCGTCTCCCGAAGAGCCGAACCCGGCGGTCAAGGAGTAAAACCCCGGCGGGAGTGAGGGTCTTACCTTTAACAGATTAGACGTCGCCATGTTCCTTCAACTTAGACTCTCGCGAGACGACCCGAGAATTCGTGGCGCTCCCAGCCAGGCCACAACGGGAGGCCGGAGTTCGCACCCGGACCCTCAGGCCCACCGGCCCGCTCTGGGGGTGTGGTGGGCGCCGGGACGGCGTGCAGACAACGCTGAGCTCGTCGCAGGCACT